TTCCTTTACCATCGCTGCTTCGTCTTTTTCAATTTATTCTCCTTATTTTATTGTTTACTAGCAGCATGGCGCGGCGTTGCCCGTGCTTGTTTCAAAAATCGTAGAACTCATACAGCAATCACAATCACTTTGCTTAAAATATTTTTGCCCTTCCTTGCCTTTAAAGGAGTGCTCTTTGCCGTGCTGATGTTGCTACATGCCTTACTTCTTGCCAATCTCACACTGTGATTTTTTTCTAAGCTCTATACTAAACATTAAATCTGTAACGAAATAAGAAGTAAACAAAATGAACACAAAACGATCAGCTTTAAAAAAGGACTCGTAACTGAAAAAACCGAATGAAAAAAGAATGTTAACAACAAATACTTTTTCACACCCAACCCAGTTCTGCGGAATCAGAATCAACGTTGAGTTTAAGCAAGCGAATGAGCCAATTACATTAAAGTGCCATGCAGATTTAATTTTTTCCCACTTGTGACGAATGCAGCTATAGATTTTTTGCATGCTAGTTAACATTCGTGTCAGTCAGCTGTTGGCTCTCACGCTGGCCAGTAGAATCTTCCCGCTTATTTGTGGTAACCAGCTATAGCCTCTCACTCTGGCCAGTAGAAAATAGCCGCAAACTACATGAAAAATGCCGTAGAAGCATGAACAAATCGATTATTTCCACTATCGATGGGAGTTGGGAAATACAAAGTCGGTCTTGGCTTTCCGGCTAACTTTTTGCATGTAAATTTTGGTGCAAATCCGTCGAAAATTTCGGCTGTGAATTCGTTACACACACACACACACACACACACATCCTGCCTTTCATGGATAGAGATATCCTTTCTATTATCTTTGATGTTTTCTTCTTCTTCTTCTTCTTCTTATTATTATTATTATTATTATTATTATCATTATTATATTTCAATTGCTGCTATGGACACACAACGTAACAAGTCTGCGTGTAGATCTTAGGCAAGTAGTGGTGTGTTGTTATGGCTACATTTCATGATTTATCTTTCTAAATCCCATAACATTGCTAGCGTTACATGGACAATTTTTTTTTTTTAGTGTAAGAGTTATACTTATCAAGACAATTTTTTGTATTTCTCTTAAGCTGGGATTTCCAGGGATTTTTATAATGAGTTGTTGTGTTCCTTTTTTTTTCTCATTCCAAGTGCACATACTACGACGGATACTACCGTTGTTTTCAATTTCCACATTTTTCTATTATTATCATTTGTGTATATTATATTTCCTGCTTAGTAACCTGTAGAGCCGGTTTCAAATTATGGTCCTTAGGCCTTATAGGAAAATTTTATTTAAATGATAGTCTTTTTCTTAGTATATGGCAAGGTCCTAATAGAGCGATCTTCTGGGCAACTTGTATGTCGATGTTACCTGGAACACTGCTAATAAAATTGTCCATTCTTTTTCTCAAGCGGCCCGGTGCTCCGATTACTATTGGTACAGTCTCAGTCTTCATTCTCCATATTCTGTTAATCTCGATCTCCAGGTCTTTGTATTTGGACGATTGCTCGATAATTTTAATGATGTTGTTTCTCTAAGATGATACTGCCATGTCAATAAGCATACACGTTCTGAATTCGGTTGGCTTTTATTTCCCTGTCAGTTTGAATTGGCATGTCCCAGAGGATAGTTACAGTGTTATTTTGGGTAACTCTGTCTGATTGGTGCTCATACCATCTCTCAATGGTTTCGATTTTGTGCTTCTTGCATTTCTTCCACTGCACATATGTTATTGTTATGTCTGTTTATTATTATTATTATTATTATTATTTTAATTTCTGGTGTTTACACATTTCTTTCCGGGTCCCTTGTCAGAATAATTTTTTGTACCTCTTTATTATTATTATTATTATTTTTGATTTCAGGCTTTTACACACTTCTTTCCGGGTCCTGCCCAGGGACCTAAGGTTAGAAATGGCATCATGAAACTTTCCACTGACGAAAATAATTACATAGATAAAGCCCTTCGTAAAGTGTAGGCTGTACTTGTCAGAATAATTTTTTGTACCTCTTTATTATTATTATTATTATTTTTGATTTTTCCGGGTCAGGCCTTTTATCAAACTTTCCACTTAATTACTTTTCGTAAAGTGTAGGCCGGGTCCTCTTTATTATTATTATTATTATTTTTGATTTCCTTTTTACACACTTCTTTCGGGACCTAAGGTTAGAAATGGCATCATGAAACTTTCCACTGACGAAAATAATTACATAGATAAAGCCCTTCGTAAAGTGTAGGCTGTACTTGTCAGAATAATTTTTTGTACCTCTTTATTATTATTATTATTATTTTTGATTTCAGGCTTTTACACACTTCTTTCCGGGTCCTTTTGCCTCTTTAGGGACCTAAGGTTAGGGAAATTAGAAATAGCATCATGACACTTTCCACTGACAAAAAAATATCATTATTATTATTATTATTATTATTATTATTATAGTAAAACACCTGCATTCTGGAGAGTATTTTCCTTCTGTAGACATGTGGGTTTTTTTTTTTCAATATTCCAGTGGGTTTATTTACTTTCATTTGATGATGATGATGATGATGATTTCTTCTTCTTCTTCTTCTTCTTCTTCTTCTTCTTCTTCTTCTTCTTCTTCTTCTTCTTTGTCATATAAGTGATGCTGGAGTACAAATACAGAAAGCCGATACACAGGGCCATGACATGCAGTCTGATAAGTGTTCACTTGGCACATGCATCACTGACAGATGTGCGCGAAATGGGGAAAAATTTTGATAAAAGCAGCGAATCATTTTTCAGCTTTGAAATGCGTTTATATCAGGTAACCTTGTCCGCTGACAATGTCTCCTTTGAGGATGTTCACAAATATTTGATGTGACACCCAAGTCGGTTTGGCTGTCTCATGTTCCAAATGAAAAAAAATAATAAAATAAATCACTCCCTACAACGTGTCATGATGCCGCCTTATATTTCCCGCCCAGGAACAGAAATGCACTGTTCGCTATCCTTTAGTGAACATGCCCAATAGGTTAGGGTCAGGCAACAGGCTGGCAAATCTGTTAGACAGAATGGCATAAGTACCGCAGACGATCTTAATTCACTAAGACAAATCATGTACATATTTACACTTCAAATCAATTAACATCAGAACTTCTGAAAGCCACTCTTTAATTATTATTATTATTATTATTATTATTATTATTATTATAACATGTATTTGCAAGGCCATACAAGATGCCTGGTGGTATCACATAGAGCGGTACATACTTGAGACTATATCTTAACATTGGACGTGTTTATGTTAAACTCAAAAGGTAAATAAAAGTCGGGTTTATACTGGTCATTATAGATTAACATTGGACTTGTTTAAACTTGATTTTATAGAATATAATTGGACGTGTTTATACTTGAGTCTACAGATTATCATTACACCTGTTTATACTGGAGTTCCTAGATTAACATTTTACTTTTTTATACTTGAGTATATAGATAGACATTGGACGCATTTATACTTGTTTCTATAGATAAACATTGGGCGTGTTTATATTTGTGTCTATAGATTAAAATTGGACGCGTTTATACTTGAGTCTATAGATTATTAGTGGACGTATTTATACTTGAGTCTATAGATTGATCGTAATTATACATCGTAACATTGGTCGTAATTATACGTCGTATATTGATAAGCACAGATTCGATTTATACTTGCGTCTACTGGTATACATTATTTATACTTGAGTTTATTGGTAAACATTTGTCTTATCATACTTTTGTCAGCACGCATCCAGCCTGCAAACGGCCTCTTTTCAGGGTTTTTATCTCTAGGTTGAAGATGCAGGTTATTTTTTCTCACAAATATATATATATATATATATATATATATATGCGTGTGTGTTTGTGTGTGAGTTTCAAGTTCCTTTTAGATTTACTCTAGTTTGTAAACTCCTTTATCTAAGACTTTTGCATTTACAATCTTTAGATGTTCTGTTAGAGATTTGATACTGTGTTTGTATTGAAATGTCTTAGAGAATTTCGTGCTTTTTTTCTTCTCTGATGTTTATGCATAAGTAAAGAATGAGTAGAAAATATTTTGCACAATAATAAGATATTTATTTAGCAAAATTACAAAATTGTAGCAGGCGGCCGAAAATAAGTTTCTAAGCGATGTGACACGAGGCCGAAAGTGTGGAACACCCAGTGAAGATCGAACTCACTACCCAGTCGTAATTTTTAACCATTCCACCGCCTTGTTAACCATTACACCGCCTTGAGTTAACCAATGTTCGACAATAATTGAAATAAAAGCGCTTAGGAGCAACTTCATTATCATTTGCATTTATTATTATTATTATTGTTTGGTCAACATGCCTTGGTAACCATTAATGATTTTTAGAAAGAACCCATCTATTAAGAGGGACGAGATCTGATCTACCCTACATCTGATTTACTGTCATTGGGTTAAAATTAATTGAAGTACCCAAGATTACACAAGAGGACGCTAACAGTTAACTACGAACATTGCAGGCGACAAGACTATAAATTTGAACTTATCTATATATATATATATATATATATATATATATATATATATATATATATATATATATATATATATATATATATATATATGAGCCAGGTAAACCTACAATGACTATGTGAAAAAAAAATTAACCAAGTAAAACCGTAAATCAAAGTTGTTTTTATGATCTTTACTTGTTAAAAAACAATTTTTTATGCTAATTTTTTCAACACTAATTTCTAAGTTAAATTTATTGGTTAATATGCTAGCTTCTCTATTTACCTCAGTTTCTAGATTAGCGGCTTTTTTATTAGACTTAATTACCTCTTTATTAAGCATATTATTATATTTTTGACGGGGGGGGGCTTATCTTGTATCAAAATTCGGATTTGTGTGGTTGTTTCGGAGATAAATAGGAATCCTACCAGAAATCATTATTGACGAGCACAATCTTAACGTCATATGATATGCAGATGAGACAGAAAGGAAAGTACAAATCCAAGCTTACGGCACCTGGTATTCCCATGCGGTCCCCGATTTAGGTACAGACCTGTCTCGACGTTGCTTAACTTCGGTGAGATTACGGAAACCGGTGTTTCAACATGATGTGACCGTAAAACAAAGATCGGGCGTTGCTAAAAAATTTTAAAAATCAATATAAATGATGAAAAAATGTTTGAATAAGGTAAGCGTGCATCAATGGTCTTTCATGGCTGGAAAATGAAGATTGTGCCACTCCAGTTCAGATATGGCAGCAATGGTCTAATCAGACCCTTATAAAGTTAAAGCATGTCATGACACTTCTACGGAGTCAAATCGTCTTCATTGTCCCCATTTTCTAAATGTAAGAAGAAAATTCCAGTCAGTTTATTTTTTCCCAAGAACTGCCACTTTGTGGAACAAACTTTCACGTGTATGCTTCTTTGAATGCTACAATTTTAATCACTTCATGGCCAGGGCCATTATCCATGTTTATTATCCTCATCATTTTCACTTCTTACCAACTCCTTTCATTCCTATCACACATCTCATTTAATAGCCCTCTAAGTTGAATGGGTCACTTGATTAGTGTTAAGTGAACTTTAGTATTAAAAAAACAGCAAAGATAATTTTTAGGCCTTCTCATTATACACTGTAGATTCCAACGTAAATTCGCTTGCCCAACTAATATGTCAATGTCGACTAATATCAAATAAGCGATGTCGAGTGATAATTCTTAACTCAAACAAAATAGAAAGGGGTGTGAGACAAGGGTGTGTCTTCGCAACGAGGCTATTCAGCGAGGCGATTCTAAGAGAAATAGGAATTCTACCAGGAATCATTAGTGACGATCACAATCTTAACAACGTAAGATAGGAAGATGACTCGGAAACTAAACTAAAAGAACTCTTACAGAAGCCGGTCTTCTTCCTAAGGTTATGACATTTCTGGACGAATTTTTGAACTCATTTACACTTTCTTATCAAGTCGCGAAATTAAATTTTGATTTTTATGAACACCCTTCCTGGTATCATCAGTTCTCAACTCTGTATCTATGCTGATGATGGCTGAGTCGTTAGAACGTCCGCATTCTGAGCATAAAACCCGGGTTCGAATCTCATCATGGTCGATTTGTCGGGAAAGAGACTTCCTGATGTTATCGGACTGGAAGGGGTCGATCCCAGCGTGCACCTTTGGAAAGTGCCTGAAAATAATACCACGTGTTGACCCAAGGCTTGTGAGTGAAATTGGTTAGATGGTACTCTTTGGGGCCGTCGATAGCTGTGCTAATACGAAGTCAAAAGTAATCGTGACTGAGGGTTGGAGTGTGGTGGTCTTATTTAAGTCACACTAGATAACATGACTTTCCCAGAAACTGTAACTTAGGTCTGCTCAGCATAGTTGCATTATAAAACACAGGTGGGCTCTGTGGGTATTGAACAAATACAAAATGCGCTTGAGCAAGCATCTGTAATAGAGATTGCCTAGCCGCTCTAGTAGACATGTAGAATCGAATACGAGTGGCCAGCTATACCTATCTATGCTGGTAATACGACTATTTACTCCTGTCTTAATAGTAGGTCTAATGGATTAGATAAGTTCAAATTTATAAGTCTATCATCCGTCCATGCGTTTATTATTGTCGTCACATACTGTCTGGTGCTTCTTCTATGTATTTAGAGATTATTATTAAAATACAAAAAAGAATCTGCAATGTTATTGGTCATGACCTGGCAATTCGACATCAGTCCCTCCCAACGTCGTAACATAGTTTCCCCTCTGCTTTTTCTCTAAATAATTTCATGGTAATTGTTCTGAATTTAGTTCTATGTAAATATTCATTAGGGTTTCTTTTTTAAATGTTATTATCCCCGCGCCATAGACAAATTGTATTTATGGGAAATATTTAGAGACTCTGAGGTATTATAGTAACTGTAGTAAGAATGTTAAGTAAGAATGTATTGCTTTGGTGTTAGGAATACTGTGGATCAGCAATCGTGGCTAGTAAAATTTAAGATAAGACAGATCGAAGACCATCCTTTCCCTATCCCCACTACATTTCCCTTTATGGAACCTAACCTTATGAATTCAAGCGCAGTCCTAAGTTGACTGCTAGATCTCATCATTTTACAGTTAAAAAGATTAGATGTAACCGTAAGTTCTATGTTAGGGGTTTCTTCTCTCGTACTTCTCACTTGTGTAACTCTCTTCAGACTTTTATTTAAATGCAATGTCAATCGTTATTTTCATATCTTTTATTATCTCGCCAGACTTTTTTCTTCACATATAGTCCTCACACTGAGTAATCTTCAGGATATTTCTATCCTAAGTAAGCTTCGCCCTGTACAAGGCCCTAGGGCCACTCAAGGTAGAAGGATATGTTAATGGGTAGTTTATATCTATAGGAAGGGAAGATCATGGTTGAGTCTAGACTTGAATGGAGTAAGATAGTAATGATCGGGGAAACATCCTATTGGGAGTCTGTTCCAAAGGGAGTGATTCGCGGGAAGAATTTGTTTGAATGGAATTTACTTCTCCCCGATGTAATACGGAGGGAATGGGGGGGTTGTTACTATGTAAGTAACATGGCGGGTCCTAGCCGCAAAGGAATCATGAGACGCCTTTCGTCCGAGCAATTTTCATGGCATTATCGGTGGAGCAGCGAAAAACTCGCCACATTCTGTTAGCAAGAGAATGGTTGAAATAATTCTTCTCCAACAAGAACTTGGAGTCGCCTTGGAGCTCTATCCAGAATGGAATATTCTCTTGTGCGCAAATGTCATATCAGGACGATTGTTCTCGAGGCGCTACTCAGTGAAGATGATTTTATTTCACATGAGCTTCTCTTGCGCATTCTCCGCTATTTATTATTATTATTATTATTATTATTGTTAGTAGCAGTAGTAGTAGTAGTATTTGGCTTTCCGTTGATTTCAATCCCCTGTAGTCAACTGATAATTGATATGTAGAGGATTTATATTTTTCGTACATTTTTAATGCTCACTTGAGAAATCGAGCAGTTCCACACAGTACAATTTATTTTTCACGAAATTGCAAATAGTCATTCGCGAAGATCTTGATAATTTTCTCGACTTTACCTTCATTGATCGAACCAATTTTTTTTACTTACGCTTTCAGTATCTTTGTTGTTTTATTTATCGTATACTTTGAGAAATGTAATTTTATCTGATGTCGCTAAGAGACGGCAAGTGTCATGTTTGTAGTCTTTCAGCTCTATAGCTGCTTTATTATTATTATTATTATCATTTTCTTTGATTTCTGGCGTTTACACATTTCATTCCGGGTCCCGCCCAGGGACCTAAGGTTAGAAATGGCGTCATGACACTTTCCACTGACAAAAAAAAAAAAATTTAAATTACATAGATAAAGCCCTTCGTAAGGTGTGGGCTGTACTTGTCAGAACAATTTTTGTATCTCCTTGAGGCATGGACTTCCAGGAATCCTTTCAATTAGTCTACTGCAATCTTTTCCAACCAGTCCTAGGGCTCCAACTACAACAGGGATTGTTGATGTTCCCATATGCCACATTTTCGAGATTTCTATTACAAGGTCCTTGTACTTTGCCAACTTTTTTGAATATCTTCAAAGATACATTGCAGTCAGCAGGGACTGCCATATCAATAAGGAGGCATCGTTTTTTGTTTGTGGTCTTTAATAACAATATCTGGCCGGTTGGCCTTGATTGTTCTGTCAGTGTGTATTGTTTAATCCCATAGAATTGTAACAGGTCCTATCTCCGTAACCGGGTCTGGGTGGTGTTCATACCAGTTTCTTTCAGTTTTCTTCCCGTAGAAGTTGCAGATTTTCCAGTGCAGATATTGGCCCACTCTGTCATGTCGGGTTTTATATTCAGTGGGTGCCAACACCGTACAACCTGATACAAGATGATCAATCGTTTCTGGATATTTATCACAGAATCTGCATTATTATTATTATTATTATTATTATTATTATTATTATTTATTTCCTTTGATTTCTGGTGCATACTCATTTCCTCCCGAGTCCCAACCAGAAATCTAATCTCAGAAATGGCATCATTACATGTTTCACTGAGCATTGTTTTGAAAAACAACAAACTAAATATCCTAGGATCACACCCTATTTATATAGATAATGCCCTTCGTTAGTTGTGAGCTGAACAGCTTTTTGTTTTTCGTTACCAGGGATACTTTCATTGAGTCTATCGGAACCTCTTCCAATCCAACCGAGGGGTCCAAATACAAATGGAATTGTTGATTTTCATAGTTTTCTGAAGATCTTCAAAGATCCATTATAATCTGCAAGAACTGCTATGTCAATAAGAAAGCAATTTCTTTTTTTTGGTGATATTTGATAAGGATGTTTGGGAGGTAAGCATTGATTCTTTAGTCTGTGTGTATTGCAAAGTCCCATCAAAATCGTTACAGGTCCTATGTCTGTAACCAGATCTTGGTGGAGCTCATACCAATTTCTTGCAGCTTCCTTTCCGTAAAAGATGCATATTTTACTAGGCAGATATTGGCCCGGTCTGTCATGGCAAGTTTCTTATTCAACCTGATACAAGTTGATCAATTGTTTCTGGATATTTATCAGAGAATCGTCAATTTTTTGGTATTTGTGCTTGGATAATTTCGAATGAGAAAAGATTGTCTGTGCTTTAAAAATAATTCCTTCGGTTTCAAATTATTATTATTATTATTATTATTATTATTGATATTGTAGCGATCATCATCGCCATCATACAAACATACATACATACATACAGATCATATGGCAAGCATTCATTGGCTAATCTTCTCAAAAAATAGCTTTCTAATTAGTCAATTCCGACCAATTAAATCGCCTACAAGCGAGGAATAATTTTCTGGCGCACAAGGTAGGAGCCTGTCATGTGAGACACAACCTTATATAAACAAAACACGAATAAGCCTCTCTGGTGTTCTTTTCATTGATCTTTTACCTTCCTGCCAAGATGTAATCTTCAAGAGCTCCCGTCTTAACCGTGCGGTCAGACGTTAAATACCTTTGCCCACAACTCTTACCGACTTTTCCACAAGCCGCCAGTAGAGTCCAGCTATTTTCGCCTGTCCACACAAATCTACGACTTTACCCACAACATTTCAAACGCACACACAGA